GGAACGGGGACAAAATCTATGACTGAAATGTCTCAGAGGAAACATGCCATAATATTCATGTTACCTGGAAGCTTCCCTTTAAAACTCCAATTTCAAAGGAAGATTATGTGTTCCTGGTGTTGTTTTTAATGAGAAAATGAAAAATAGCTAATCTTTAGCGCCTTGAATGGCAATATATTCTAGATTTGGTGAACATAGAGATACTACTCTTTGGATCAGAAATAGGTGTTTAGGTTACCAATTAACTATTTCCTTCATCTGAGTGACTCTTCTCAAACAGAAGAGTGTGCTGTTCTACCACATGTTGCAAGTATAAGGATCTGAATAAAATTGCATCAGTGTTATTAAAATGTGTAAAGACTTGCTGGGTTTTTTTTTTTTTTTTGAGTGCAGAATAACACACAAACTCAGGAACATTTTATTAACAATAAGATGCCTAAGTTTTTTTTAACAGCAACATTGTAAATAGCTTATCTAATTGTAAATGTATTACTTTTATAGTCTCTTTATGAGGAAAAAGCACCTCAGTCAAAGCGCCTTATGTGATTAGCGCTATTGTATTCTTAAATTTTGATTGATAGAGATAATAGTTTTCACTTAAAAATACAGACAGGTACTTTAACTTTCCATGACAATAGCTATTTGCATTTCTTTTATCTTTTTGTTTAACATTTGTGGGGGTTGGGACAGATTTGATTATTAACTCTTATTGCACACTGTGGTAAATGCTAAAACAAAGCTTTTGTTACAATTTCAAAGGTACAAGAGCAAATATTGTTTTTATTGCTTCGGTGTTTAAAAGGCAGTAAAGGGATACCTCAGAGATAGTTTCACATGACCACAGCCAAGGTTATTGCTTTGCGGGAAGGTAAGAGAATAATCTGCCAATTCTGGGGAAAAAAATATCTAGGCTTCTACATTATGGGTAGCCTGGAAGCAAAAGCAAATTTGCCAAAAAGACAAGAATACTAGAAAGTTCTTCCCTGTGTAATGTCCCTCTTCCTCCTTAACATCAAGAGTGAAACTGTTAAATTCACTTGAATTTAAAACTGGATGAAAGGGAGGATGGTACAGATTTGTGCAGTAAAATAATCATGCTATGGCTTATTGGTAGAACAATAAAATGTGTATTGTGTCAAAACCTGAGAGCAAACTAGAATTTTTAATATAAGAAAAGAATATATTGGATATGTCAGCAAATGTATTTATTATATTAGATATCACATACACTGTAAAGCTGAAACCTAAAAGCTTATATCATATGACTTAAATTGAATCTTTACAGAGTAAATTAGAAGTCTTTTCCCCCCTCTTTCTTTAAAACTTGCTTTAATTTTAATGGAATGGTTAATAGAATAATTCTAATACAATTGCAATGGGGTTGAAGATGGTATTAATGATTAGATAGTACAAGAGAAGGAAATGTTGAGGAAGATTTGTTACTTGATTTCCTAAGAACTGCCAGATAGGTGTTCTGCATATCTCTTGATTGCATTGTTGATAACTTTTAGAGAATATATTGTGGTCTTCCAGACTTCCACCAGGGTGAGCTCTGATGTATTATATTAAATCATAGAAAATAAAAACTCTGCTGAGAAAAATACCTTTTAAGGGTAATTCAGTGTGGTTGCACTATAAACAAGATTTATATTTAAGATTTCTTTTAGCTGTTATTATTTCTCAAATAAGATGACTTAATCCAGCTCTGAAAATTATCACTTCAGATTTGCACAGGAACAATGTAACGTATTCATGTTTACTTGGAAGTAAGACAAAGTGTGACATATGGGATTTGCCTCTCATTAAAATCTTCAGGATTACAGTTTAAATTTGGATACAATCTGAAATAGATTGCTAAGAAATGAGTACAATTAAATATAAAACAGTACTGATGTCACTGAATACACTATTATTGTACTCTATATGAAATAATTAAAAAAATTAAAAATATACTTTTATTATTTTAATACCATTGTTTTCTTCAATGTAAGCATTCAGTACTGTCACATTCACAAAATTACAAAAACAAAGAAGGGAGCAGGTCATTTCATTTTATCGTTGACTTAAATGAGAGAAGAATATGATATAATTGGGTAAACTCTTCAGCATTGTAATAATTTTTCATGCAGGTTACTCTACTTAAACATGGTTCTTTTGAATTTATTCAGGAGAATCCCATTTTATTATATTCTATCTTTCATTTACATTTTATCCTTTCAGTATACATTGTGCTTTTATAAACTTTATGTTCCTTTACATAATGTTGCTTTCAAATAATTTTAGCATATTTTAGCCATTTAAATAAAATAGGTACATCTTGACGTAATACAGTTGGATGTTTTTAATCATCTAGATTAATTTTTATTAAGAAGGGATGCTGATTTTTTTTTTGTCCCAGTAGCTTTTGAAACAATTGATGAAGGTATCCTTCTGAATTGATTGCTGGGATTAGGCTTTAGGGGCATTGTAATAATATGATGGTTACAATTTTTGTTGTTCAGTCTTGTCTAGAGTTTTAACACCATGACCATTGGCTTTGATTTCTTATTTTCCATTTGTCCCTTTGGTTATTTTATATTGAAAACTGTTTAGAAAAGTTCTCTAAAGCTTCCTTATGAAGAACCATGAAACAATGGTTGCTATTTGACCCTAATCCTCTCCACCCATAAGTCCAAGGAAACTATTACTGTAATACCTTTTGATGTTGCCTCAGTAGTGGGTTGTTTTCCAGGACGTAATGGTGCTTTTGAAAGTTAAGTTGAGTTTTCCAGTTTCTGAGTAAGTTTGATTTGGCAAAGTTACTCATATCTAAATCATATCATAGATTATCATATATAGATTGCTACAGTATATAGGACCCTCCTTGTAAAAATATATGGAAGCTACAAACATTTCAAAACGCAGCCACTATTAAGTGGTGCCCAATATAAAGATTGTACTAACAATTATTTTCTGTGCTCACGTCAATAAGTTTGCCTTGAGTTTTAATGTACAGAGCTGAATGATTTGAAAGTCTACTTTTTACTGCTTTAATAAATTGTCCAATTATTAAAGTATGTCTAATTTGAGCAAAGCCTACTCTTCTCCCATCCCTACATTACAGTGGCTTCACTTTCCAGAATACCCAAAGGTCCTTCTCCTGTAGTGCTCTGTGGATGGTCATCTATCTCTACTCTGTTTGATATTGGAATGAAGAGCTAAGCCACATCATGTTAATTGGCTTATTAGCTTAATCTAGTAAATAACTGGTTTGTGTGTTTGTTTGTTGTATTTATATACCACCAGATTCAACAGAAACAACTCTAGGTGGTATACTATATTAAAACATAAAAGACCAATAAAAACTTAAGCAGTCATAAATTGTTCAGTAACCATTCATTGCTTGAAGCATTTCTGATATTTTCCAGAAGACCAGCAATGAGGGTGTAAATCCATTCTCAAGGAAGAGCATGTATGTAGCAGAATGTGTTAAAGCAATGGGCTAGAAATGAGAAGAACATGATATCTAGTCACACCTTAGGCATGAAGCCAATTGAGACCTTGGAAATTCTCTTTTCTCACTGCAGGAAGAAGAAAGCAATGACAAATCGATTATGAAATATTGTCAAGCAATGATTTGTCCAGAGAGTCACAAGGAGTCAACAGCAAATGATGATTACACTAATAAATGGGTAAATATATATTCCCTGTATATATCTCCATAACCCATTTATTAGTGTAATCATTATTTGCTGATTGGTTGAGCCCGCACAACACATTAAGGCATAAATCATATTTAACAATTACAACAGTAAAGTTTACTAACTTACAAGGAGGAGATGGCAGCCAATATTAGAAATTTTTCTGTGTTCCTAAAATGGAGACAGGATTATCAGGAGATGTACATGTTTAATATAGGTCAATGGATATATTTATTCCTCTTATCTAATTAAAAAAGGTAAAACAAAGGTCTGTAATAAAAAGGTGGGATATGAAGAAGATATCAAGGAAAATGTGATAATATGCAGGTATTATCATATGTATGTATTATCAGAGGAGGCCAAGCAAGGAAATCCTGTCAGGCAAGTGGAAGTCAGTTTATATCATATTGGATATATTTTCAGTGAATTTATAGAATGGCCCATATTTAAGTGTTCTGAATTGAATCAATTGTATAGTAACAAGATTAAACCCCCTGATTTTTATAAAAATTAAATATCTATTGCATTCACTATATTGTACCTGAAATTAGTATTGTCTGTCAAATAACTTAGAAGTCATTTTATATTTATCCTGAATGAAGTCAAGGTAGTATTATTAGTTTACCTTTGTGGCAAATAAACAGAGTCTAACTTATACCCGGCAGGAATTAGAAAATAGTAGGAATTAGAAAATTGTGTTTTTTAAAGGATTACATTCTTTTTGCACAAGAGAGAAAGAGCACTTTACATAAAAGGATGGGGATAGAATCAATTTGTTGTGTAACTCAACACAATAATAGCTATAATAAATAATAAAAAACATAATCTGGGGAGAGGGGTGAACCAAAGCAACAACAACAAAAAGAACCGCTGTAATGATAAAAATAAAAGAATCAAAAGATAAAAGAATTGGACTCAGTTCATGGATACAAAGAGATGAACCCAAATGTAGCCGTATCTGTGAGAACAAAGGAATCAGAGTAATATATTCCTTAAGTGAAAATAAATGGCTAGCCAGCAAGATTAGGAAACTTTGCGCGAAAGAACAAAGTGGGACTCATCTTCAGAGTTTTTCTTTGCTCCCAAAGACTGTTTTGTTTGCTGAACAAAGCTTCTCAGCGGCTGGTACTGATAACTGTCTATCTTGTGACAGTCAACTTTTATTAGCTCTCTCTGAAAATCATTCACCATTAAACACAGTTGGATTCATTTGTTATTTTGTTTACATTTGCCCTTGTTAGTGGTGCCAATGAAAATATCTTCAGTGTTGTCACTACTTCTGATCAGCCAGACTCATTGTTGAATCCATTTTGTCCTCAGGGTTAGAAGAGTGACTTTTGGGGTCTTCTGAACCTGAAGATTGCTTGACAGAAGTTTCTGAAAAGGTAAATAAAAAAAGTCCATATTTTTTTCTTACTTGGTTTTTATTCTATTTTTACCTTGCTGGTCTGCTTGTCCATAAAAGCACCTCAATCCACAGACATCTACAATGTTTACATTTCCTGACATTCCTATCTAAGAATAAAATGAACCTGATAGCATCAGTATGATAAAAATCAAAATTAGTAGACTATTCTACAACTGGGTTATCCTACAACTGTGTTAAAATCATACTTATGCAGTGGAATGTTGTGTATGTTTATGCAAAAGTGACTACTATTTTCAGTGAAAATTGCTTCTTATTGTTAAGAGTAGTATCCTTGCAATTCAGTCCTTTTAAAACATTATAAAGTTTTGTTGTTATGTTTGGTTTATGTTACGTGTAGACTTTGTTATAGGCTTGACTGGTAAGCAAGTTTGTTTAGTTTGTTATGCGTGATGGCAGAGTCTTTTCCACTAGAAGAAGCAGTGAGTAGGATAGTTGGGTTGTACTCCTAAAAGAAATGTCAATCACTCATTTCAAGCAAATTTATACAGGAGAGTAGCCTAAGGCTGAAATCCAAAGAACATTTGATTCAGAGGAACTTTGATTAAAATCAAGGAGACTTAAGATCCCAGATGAATCTTGTACAATAGATTGCTTCCTGAGATTCGCAGATTCACATTTTTAAAAGTTCTTGATGAAAACTAGAATGAAGCTAATGATGCTTTAGAGCAGGAGTGTCAAACTCACGTTGTCACGGCGGTGTCACGTGATGTATTGGGACTCCCCCCCCCTTCGCTAATGTGGGCATGGCCAGCCTGTGAAACATCCAGCTCATGGGCTGGGGGTTTGGCAGCCCTACTTTAGCATAATCCTGTTTCTCTCTACTTTTGGAATACCTTAAAAATCTGTTTGTGTATAGGTGCGCCCCTTGAATAGTTAACAATTAATGTCTTTGTCTTGGTAATGGTATCAGCACTAACTAAAAAAAAGTACATGCATAAATATTTGCTTTAGGAGACACTACCTAAAAGTAAGCACTGTTGTTGTTCTGCTTTATATTGGATCGTAATATAATCTGAAATGCTAATGAATTTAGACTATAGGACAGGATTGACCATCTTTGGAAGTCAGTGAGAATACTGGATATTTTCTACAAAAGGTTTTCTGGAAGATGTGGTCAGACAAAAACATCTTTTTACCTGAATAAAAGCTGGTGAAGTTACTGCTTACCATCTAATAGGCTTTTCATACATTTTTTTCATGATACTTTTCTTTCAACTTGTTCAAATAAATGAACAAAAAGGCAGGCAAACAAGGAACTTGATAGACAAATAGGGATATGTCCATCTGGACACCGTGTTGCCTCCTTATGTTACATTATTATATGTTGTTTTGCATTATACATGTACTAATCTGCACTTGATTGTATTATACTGTACTTTCAACAGAGGCCAACCATTTGTATATTATATAGAACTTGCTACAATTTAATTATAAATATAATTTTTATAATATGAAATATTTATTTTGACAAGTTATAAAATAATATCTTTATATAAAGAATAAATATAGGCTTACTGCTTATGTTTTATGTTGAGAAAAATATTATTTTGAGAGCTGCTTCTTCAAAATAATATGGTATGGTGAGAGTTTACAAAGTCACTTTTGCATTATAGGAAAAGTATGATGCATTTATCAGCCCTGTTTTATTTTTGTTTTTTGTTTTTTTAATTTTTTTTAAAATAAAGTTTATTTAAGTTTCATATATTTAAAACATTTAAAAAATAACAAACAAACATATAAACAAATATATGTTCATGTATACATTTTGCAGCAGGTATTGAGTATTGGTTACACTTTTCTTTTTTTCTTTTACCCCATAACATTGACGTGATCTACCTTGTTACAATACCTTCCACGTTCTTTTAATGTTTTAATTTCACAGAATACTTTATGATTAAACGCATGTCCTCCATAGTTTCATAACTTATTCAGTTGTCAAATGTTGCTTTTTCTTTAAACATTCATATCAACAATTCCAAACTTTATAGTATTCACTATCTTTGTTGTTTTTTTAGTAATTTGGTTAGGCTATCCATCTCTGTAAACTCATGATTTTTTTTAATAACCATCTCCTCTGAAGGGACAATAGACAGTTTCCAATTTTGTGCATAGCTTACTCTGGCTGCCGTTATAATGTGCAAGATTAAATGTTGATATTTTTTTCTATTTTTGAATCTATCATACTCAGCAAAAAGGTTTCGGGTTCAAGTTTTACATCTTGTTTAGTTATATTTAGAATCCAATTTTTAATATTTCTCCAAAACTTCTGGGCATATGGACATGTCCACCACAGATGAAAGTATGTTCCCTGGATGCAGTTACACTTCCAACAATTTGGTTGGAGGTTCGGAAAGCCAATCTCGTGGGAGGCAAGTGCCAACAATACACCATTTTATACAGATTCTCTTTGTACGAGGCTGACATAGTTAATTTGTAATTTATTTCCCAAATGCGTTCCCACTTGTCTAATTCAATACTGTGGCCCACATTTTTTGCCCAAATTATCATACATTCCTTGACTATTTCTTCTTTTAATTTGTAATCCAAAAGATATTTATATATTTTACTAATCAATTTCCTTACCTCTCCATGCCAAATCTTATCTAATTCTTGATAGGTCATATTAAAACCAAATTGTTCTTTATCTTTTTTGTAGTGCGTTTGTATCTGCGCATAGGGCCACCATGCTATCTCTTTTCCTTGGATTTGGATTTGATTCCTACCCTTTAACTATCTGGTTTCATGTAATAAATCTTTATATCTTACAATATTATCAAAATCTAAAACCTTTGGATGTGTAACTGCCTCCATTGTAGATAACCAAAGTGAGACCTTACAGTAATGTATTTTTTTAATCTTTTCCAAAATAGTTAATAACACGCTCCTTATATAATGTCTTTGAAAGTACAAGTGATGTTTACTCTTTCCGTCCCACATAAATGCGTGCCATCCAAGTTGGAGATCAAAGCCCTCTAATGTTAAGATCCTTTTATTTATCAAGTTAACCCAGTCTTTGAGCCAGGTTGCTATCGCAGCATAGTAATATGTTTTGAAATCTGGAATACCAAAGCCTCCTTTCTTTCTATCGTCCTGTAACAATTTATATTTTATTCTGGGTTTTTTCCCCTGCCATATAAATTTGGATATATGTTTATTTAATTCATCAAAAAAGCTTTTTTCCAACTTGACTGGCACCGTCTGAAATAGGAACACCAGTTTTGGCAAAATATTCATTTTTATTATTGCGATATGACCTGATAGAGATATTTGTAGTTTAGTCCAATTATCTAAATCTTTAAATATTTGAATTGTTAATTTATCATAATTATCCTTTTTAATTGACGAGCACCTAGCTGTCAGCCATATCCCCAAACATTTTACTTTATTTACCACCTGTATCCCTAATCTCTTTGTTAGTTCTTCCTTTTGTTCATTTGTACAGTTTTTTGTTATTACTTTTGTTTTTTCTTTATTAATTTTCAACCCTGCCACCATTCCATATTGTTCTATTTTTTTTATTAAAGTGGGTGTCGTTTCCAGGGGGTCTTCTACTATAAATACCATGTCATCAGCAAATACTTGAAGTTTGTACTCCTTTTTTAAAACTTTTAATCCCTTGATCTCTTGATTTTGTCGGATTTGTACCAGTAGTGTCTCTTTGACTAATATATAGAGTAGGGGAGCTAAGGGGCATCCTTGTCTTACACCTTTATTTATCCTTATATTATCTGTATTTTCCCCATTTATTAATATTTTTGCAGTTTGTGCATTATACACTGCTCAAAAAAATAAAGGGAACACTTAAACAACACAATGTAACTTCAAGTCAATCACACTTCTGTGAAATCAAACCGTCCACTTAGGTAACAACACTGATTGACAATCAATTTCACATGCTGTTGTGCAAATGGAATAGACAACAAGTGGAAAGCATAGGCAGTTAGCAAGACATCCCCAATAAAGGAGTGGTTCTGCAGGTGGTGACCACAGACCACTTCTCAGTTCCTATGCTTTCTGGCTGATGGTTTGGTCACTTTTGAATGCTGGCAGTGCTTTCACTCTAGTGGTAGCATGAGACGGAGTCTACAACCCACACAAGTGGCTCAGGTAGTGCAGCTCATCCAGGGTGGCACATCAATGCGAGCTGTGGCAAGAAGGTTTCCTGTGTCTGTCAGCGTAGTGTCCAGAGCATGGAGGCGCGACCAGGAGACAGGCCAGTACATCAGGAGACGTGGAGGAGGCCGTAGGAGGGCAACAACCCAGCATCAGGACCGCTACATCCACCTTTGTGCAAGGAGGGACAGGAGGAGTACTGCCAGAGCCCTGCAAAATGACCTCCAGCGGGTCACAAATGTGCATGTGGCTGCTCAAACGGTCAGAAACAGACTCCATGAGGGTGGTATTAGGGCCTGACGTCCACAGGTGGGGGTTGTGCTTATAGCCCAACACCATGCAGGACGTTTGGCATTTGCCAGAGAACACCAAGATTGGCAAATTCGCCACTGGCACCCTATGCTCTTCACAGATGAAAGCAGGTTCACACTGAGCCCATGTGACAGATGTGACAGGGTCTGGAGATGCCGTGGAGAACGTTCTGCTGCCTGCAACATCCTCCAGCATGACCAGTTTGTCAGAGTGTCAATAATGGTGTGGGGTGGCATTTCTTTAGGGGGCTGCACAGCCCTCCATGTGCTCGCCAGAGGTAGCCTGACTGCCATTAGGTACCGAGATGAGATCCTCAGACCCCTTGTGAGACCATATGCTGGTGCGGTTGGCCCTGGGTTCCTCCTAATGCACGACAATGCTAGACCTCATGTGGCTGGAGTGTGTCAGCAGTTCCTGCAAGACGAAGGCATTGATGCTATGGACTGGCCCGCCCGTTCCCCAGACCTGAATCCAATTGAGCACATCTGGGACATCATGTCTCGCTCCGTCCACCAACGCCACATTGCACCA